GCAGCTAATGTAAGGACACTCCCTATGGATAGAGGCACGCCTCCAGAACTACACATCCTAAGAGCTCTTCCCTATACATCGTATCGCAGGCTCTTGGGAGCCAAGCCAGCAGCACATTTCTTCTTGGGAAATAAATCAACGTATGCCTATAGGGAGAGACTGAGGGAAGGGGGGGGGGGCCATTAAAGGTCATGTGTGTGGAAAGGGCGGGGCCAACTCAATATTGAACCCTACGGACTAAGACTGGGGGGGCCATTAAAGGTCATGAGTGTGGAAAGGGCGGGGCCAACTCAATATTGAACCCTACGGACTAAGACTGGGGGGGCCATTAAAGGTCATGAGTGTGGAAAGGGCGGGGCCAACTCAATATTGAACCCTACGGACTAAGACTGGGGGGCCATTAAAGGTCATGAGTGTGGAAAGGGCGGGGCCAACTCAATATTGAACCCTACGGACTAAGACTGGGGGGGCCATTAAAGGTCATGAGTGTGGAAAGGGCGGGGCCAACTCAATATTGAACCCTACGGACTAAGACTGGGGGGGCCATTAAAGGTCATGAGTGTGGAAAGGGCGGGGCCAACTCAATATTGAACCCTACGGACTAAGACTGGGGGGGCCATTAAAGGTCATGAGTGTGGAAAGGGCGGGGCCAACTCAATATTGAACCCTATGGACTAAGACTGGGGGGCCATTAAAGGTCATGTGTGTGGAAAGGGCGGGGCCAACTCAATATTGAACCCTAGGGACTAAGACTGGGGGGGCCATTAAAGGTCATGTGTGTGGAAAGGGCGGGGCCAACTCAATATTGAACCCTATGGACTAAGACTGGGGGGGCCATTAAAGGTCATGAGTGTGGAAAGGGCGGGGCCAACTCAATATTGAACCCTACGGACTAAGACTGGGGGGGCCATTAAAGGTCATGAGTGTGGAAAGGGCGGGGCCAACTCAATATTGAACCCTATGGACTAAGACTGGGGGGCCATTAAAGGTCATGTGTGTGGAAAGGGCGGGGCCAACTCAATATTGAACCCTACGGACTAAGACTGGGGGGGCCATTAAAGGTCATGTGTGTGGAAAGGGCGGGGCCAACTCAATATTGAACCCTACGGACTAAGACTGGGAGACCATTCAAGGTCATGTGTGTGGAAAGGGCGGGGCCAACACAATATTGAACCCTACAGACTAAGACTGGGGGGCCATTAAAGGTCATGTGTGTGGAAAGGCAGGCGGCCCAATACTTGGGGCAATATAGTGTAGACCAATCCAAACCCCCCCAAACATGTAAATTTGTTGACATAGGAAACTATTCAGTGGTGTCTCTCCAGCCAATCCCAGTTCTGGGTGGAGTGACGCTGACAATGTAACACTTTGCTATCCTCTCCCATTGGACATCCTATCCATACAGAGACGCACGGCACGGGCCGATTTCCTAAAATAACCCCGGAGTCGATAACAAAGCGAGTTCAGCGCACGCCGCGTAACAGCTGACAAAACAAGCCGGGCCCCTCGGGGGGGTCACCCTATAGAATAGAAGGTTACCCATGTTCTGGGCTCTAACTGTGATCCGGAACATTGTCTGGGGGGCCCGGCACTGGTCTGTGACCGGATCTGGATCTCATTATATTGTCCCATCTGGAAGATTCCTCTCTGCGGATGGCTGAGGGTCATAAAGTCGGGCGGAGCTCCGCTGTCTGCAGACAAATGTTCGTCCAATGCAGGAAGAAGGCAACCTGAAGGATATGTGATGTATACGGAGCCCCTCCTAGGTGATCACATGACCAGTGCAGGGGGAGGGGGGGTTCCCCGGGGAATATTAATCAGTGGAACAATGTAACAAGGACAGGAAAGGTCGGCATGTGACTCCATTATAGATGGAGACGACCTCTAACGATCGATCAGGATATGAAGTGTTCACACGCGGGGTGTGGAGCCCGGACCAGGATCTTCTCGGATTTGTCGCATTGTCTTCAGATCTGCATAAACCCCCATTGATCCTGCCAGAAATCTTCTCAGATAATAACTTCCTGTGAGACTGTCACGGATCCCCCACACGCCACGCCCACAGTGACTAGCTAACCGAGGCGTGCACGCGGCCGTGACTTGGGGTAAGAGGGAATAAAGGGGACCTAACTCTGAATATATAAAACCGTATATAAGATCAGCCGTGATATCCTTCCACAGCCCGCACTACCTCTGGCCACCACCAGATGGAGACTCCACTCCAATCCAGCTGGGCGACAACACACTGGCAGATACAAATCTTACATACAATCTGGTGCACTGATTAGAGTTGAGGACCAGTTTAGTAATTACACCCTTCTAAGGTTCCTCCAGCTATCCTACAGCTTGATCCCCAGTGCTAATCACCCTTCTACTGTCCACCCCCGCCCCTGCCCCCACACCAGACACACCACAAAAGGTAGCCTGCCACCACCCAACAGTTTATCCACAGAACGGTCTGTTGAGACACCCCACACACACAGATCTCCGTCTGGCAGATCTGTTACCTTTTACAATCTACACGCAATCTGCCCACACACAGTGCGATTGCATACAGATTGGCAATGAGCTTGACCGAGCGTTTAAAGGCACTAAAATACAATACAATCTAATCTCTCCAATCCAATCTCTCCAATCTAATCTCCCCAATCTAATCTCTCCAATCCAATCCTCCAATCTAATCTCTCCAGAATATGAGCCCGAGCTTAAATACACAGAAGTCACTAATTAATTTTAAGCTTTAATTTCCCGAAAGTGGGCGGAGCATAAAATATGTACAAAGTATAAAAATTTACAGAAATACAAAACAACAAGAAGACACACAAATGACTATTCACTATAAAATAAAAGGGAATAAAACAGAATAAAACTTTTACCGAGATCTATCCTGCGACTGGAGCAAGTCAGAGCATCAGCAATCCGTCAGTCAAATCGAACCGGCTCCATACGAATCACAAATTGTCCCAATGCCCGGTACTCCATTTATGGGGATATGGACGTAGGCGGGACATTAGTCCTCGGCCAATTGACCATGGGGGGGGTGTTGCTGTACCTGCCCACAGGATGTTCTGGTGCTGACCTGCCCAAGTTCAATCGGACTAAGACTGGCTTGAAACACCAAGTCGGGGATTGGATTTCCGACACCAGCACATCGGCCAATCGCGACAGTACCAAACACTGTTCCGCTATCGCACTCCAGTGCACCACCTAACCATTTCCCTGCATTTTCCTGGCCTTCTACCTAAACCACAATATGGTTTTTATATGCAGATGTGGCGCACAGAATGCCCTACAAGAAGGGAGTATGTTCATCTCTCTGCAACTAATATTTTACTGTCTAATATCTACTCAGATCTGTACATTTATGTCACATGCACGTTACAGAGACGCTCCATTGTTCCCAGCTGTCTCTGTGGACACAACAATTCCTCTTTAAAGCCGAACCTCGCTCAATAGTCGAATTCCGGTGCTTCGCTCCCCGCACCTTGCCTGTTAACTGAGGGGGGGGGAGGAGGGGGGGATCCTCGTCTAGGCAAGAGGGGGGGGGGCCCTGGCTCCGCCTCTCCCTTTCTGCAGGGTCACATGTCCTAGGATGCTGAAGGACCACACATCACATTAATACACTGGGAGGATGCACTTAATACACGGGGGTGATGCACTTCTCTCACATTAATACACAGGGAAGATGCACTTATCTCCCATTAATACACAGGGGCGATGCAAATATCTCCCATTAATACACGGGGAGGATGCACTTATCTCATATTAATACACAGGGAGGATGCACTTCTCTCACATTAATACACTTAATCTCCCATTAATACACAGGGAGGATGCACTTATCTCACATTAATACACAGGGAAGATGCACTTATCTCACATTAATACACAGGGAGGATGCACTTATCTCCCATTAATACACAAGGGCAATGCACTTATCTCACATTAATACGCAGGGAGGATGCACTTCTCTCACATTAATACACTTATCTCCCATTAATACACAGGGAGGATGCACTTATCTCACATTAATACACTTATCTCCCATTAATACACAGGGAGGATGCACTTATCTCACATTAATACACAGGGAAGATGCACTTATCTCCCATTAATACACAGGGAGGATGCACTTATCTCCCATTAATACACAGGGAGGATGCACTTCTCTCCCATTAATACACAGGAGTGATGCACTTATCTCACATTAATACACAGGGAGGATGCACTTATCTCACATTAATACACAGGGAGGATGCACATATCTCACATTAATACACAGGGAGGATGCACTTATCTCACATTAATACACAGGGAGGATGCACTTATCTGACATTAATACACAGGGTGATGCACTTATCTGACATTAATACACAGGGAGGATGCACTTATCTGACATTAATACACAGGGAGGATGCACTTATCTCCCATTAATACACAGGAGTGATGCACTTATCTCCCATTAATACACGGGGGTGATGCACTTCTCTCCCATTAATACACGGGGTGATGCCCTTCTCTCCCATTAATACACGGGGGTGATGCACTTATCTCACATTAATACACAAGGGTGATGCACTTATCTCCCATTAATACACAGGAGTGATGCACTTATCTCACATTAATACACAAGGGTGATGCACTTATCTCCCATTAATACACGGGGAGGATGCACTTATCTCCCATTAATACACAAGGGTGATGCCCTTCTCTCCCATTAATACACAGGGAGGATGCACTTATCTCACATTAATACACAGGGGTGATGCACTTTCTCTCTCATTAATACACGGGAGGATGCACTTATCTGACATTAATACACAGGGTGATGCACTTATCTCCATTAATACACAGGGGTGATGCACTTATCTGACATTAATACACAAGGGTGATGCACTTATCTCCCATTAATACACGGGGGGGTGATGCACTTATCTCACATTAATACACAGGGTGATGCACTTATCTCCCATTAATACACAGGATATGCAGAAACTCACCGAATACGGTCAGGTTGACCTGCGCTTGCTTGGAGCCGTGTTTGTTCTCCACCACCAGCGTGTAGCAGCCGCAATGCTCCTGGCGGGCGCATGAGATGGTCAGTTTGCTGGAGTCCTCTGAGCTCTCCACCTTGATGAATTCACTTTCTTTGATCTGTTAGTGGAGGGAAGCCAGGGGTTAGGACAGCAAAGAGCCAACGGGCCCGTATTGTATACAGATAAGGGCCCCTAAAGTAGACAGACAAAGCCACAAACATACACAGATAAGAGCACTTGATGCAGACAGATGGAGCCCCCAATGTACGGAGCTGGGGCCCCTCAATGTGCATTACTGCAGTCCCAACAAACTCAGATGGGGTCCCCAATATACTTAGATAGGACCCCTATGTGCAGAGATAAGGTCCCAAATGTAGTCATAGGAAGATCCCAATATACATAGATTGGATTCCTCTATTTACACAGATGGGGCCCCTGATGGAGACAAATAAAGCCACCAATATACACAGATGGGGCCCCTGATGTAGACAAATAAAGCCACCGATATACACAGATGGGGCCCCTGATGTAGACAAATAAAGCCATCGATATACACAGATGGGGCCCCTGATGTAGACAAATAAAGCCACCAATATACACAGATGGGGCCCCTGATGCAGACAGAGAGAGAGGAAGCCCCCAGTGCACACAAATAGGGCCTCTCATTATACACAGATGGGGCCCCTCAGGGGTCGATGTCAAAAAAACGGGGATCGGGTATTAAATACATGGCAGGGGAGAGGTGACTAGAGAGAGCGTTCACATTTTATTATACAGATCTGAAATGAACGGAACGTATGTTCTATTACAACAATGTATCACAATATACAGTGAAGGAAATGCGTATTTGCTCCCCTCTGATGCTGAATGTTCGCCCCTCACACAGAAACGATCGGTCTAACAATGGAATGTTCGCCCCTCACACAGAAATGATCGGTCTAACAATGGAATGTTCGCCCCTCACACAGAAATGATCGGTCTAACAATGGAATGTTCGCCCCTCACACAGAAATGATCGGTCTAACAATGGAATGTTCGGTGTAACACTGAGAGACAGAATACAACAACAAATTCAGCAGAAATGCGTCTAACAAATGATGACGGATCTGCATGTTCATGAGGGAAAGAAGGATTTGATCCCCTATCATTCAGCAGGATTTCTGGCTCCCAGGTGTCTCTCATACAGGTAACAAGCTGAGATTAGAAGCAGTCTCTTAAAGGGAGTGCTGCTAATCTCATTGTGTTACCTGTATAAAAGACACCTGTCCACAGGAACCATCAAACCATCAGATTCCAAACTCTCCACCATGGCAAAGACCAAAGAGCTGTCCAAGGATGTCAGGGACAAGATGGTAGACCTACACAAGGCTGGACTGGGCTACCAAACTATGGCCAAGCAGCTTGGTGAGAAGGTGACAACAGTTGGTGCAATCATTCACAAATGGAAGAAACACAAAACAAGTGTCAGTCTCCCTAGGTCTGGTGCACCATGCAAGATCTCACCTCGTGGAGTGTCAATGATCATGAGAACAGTGAGGAATCATCCCAGAACTACACGTGAGGATCTTGTCAATGATCTCCAGGCAGCTGGGACCACAGTCACCAAGAAAACAATTGGTAACACACTACGCCGACAAGGACTGAAATCCTGCAGTGCCCGCACGGTCCCTCTGCTCAAGGAAGCCCATGTCCAGCCCGTCTGAAGTCTGCCACTGAACATCTGAATGATGCAGAGGAGGACTGGTGGGAAGTGTTGTGGTCAGAGGAGACCAAAATCCAGCTCTTTGGCATCAACTCAACTCGCCGTGTTTGGAGGAGGAGGAATGCTGCCTAGGACCCCAAAAACACCATCCCAACTGTGAAACATGGTGGTGGAAACATTCTGCTTTGGGGGTGTTTTTCTGCTAAGGGGACGGGACAACTGCACCACATCAAAGGGACGATGGACGGGGCAATGTACCCTCAAATCTTGGGTGAGAACCTTCTTCCCTCAGCCAGGGCATTGAAAATGGGTGGTGGATGGGTGGAGTTCCAGCATGACAATGACCCAAAACACACGGCCAAGGCAACAAAGGAGCGGCTCAAGAAGAAGCACATGAAGGTCCTGGAGTGGCCTAGCCAGTCTCCAGACCTTCATCCGATGGAAAATCTGTGGAGGGAGCTGAAATTTTGAGTTGCCAAACGTCAGCCAGCAAACCTTAATGACTTGGAGAGGATCTGCCAAGAGGAGTGGGCCAAAATCCCTCCTGAGATGTGTGCGAACCTGGGGGCCAACTCCAGGAAACGTCTGACCTCTGTGATTGGCCACCAAGTACTAAGTCATGTTTTGTAAAGGGGATCAAATCCTTCTTTCTCTCATGAACATGCAGATCCGTCATCATTTGTTAGACGCATTTCTGCTGAATTTGTTGTTGTATTCTGTCTCTCAGTGTTACACCGAACATTCCATTGTTAGACCGATCATTTCTGTGTGAGGGGCGAACATTCCATTGTTAGACCGATCATTTCTGTGTGAGGGGCGAACATTCCATTGTTAGACCGATCATTTTCTGTGTGAGGGGCGAACATTCCATTGTTAGACCGATCATTTCTGTGTGAGGGGCGAACATTCCATTGTTAGACCGATCATTTCTGTGTGAGGGGCGAACATTCCATTGTTAGACCGATCATTTCTGTGTGAGGGGCGAACATTCAGCATCAGCAGGGGAGCGAATACACATTTCCTTCACTGTAGCCGTCTTTTATCAGGAAAGAAAAGTGTGTTCAATGCCTGCCACTAATCAAACGTTGGTGATAGGAGGGATGTGGTCATGTGATCACCCACCAATCCACTCTGTATGTTTTCCAGCTGTATTCTGCACCATTGATCGGTCTGATCCCGCCTCCCATCACCTAATCAATAATCACCTCTCTCTTGAACTTCATCCAGGTGCAGGTAATGGGCTGCGTTCCCGCCACTTTGGACAGAAGTACCACGGGACTCTCCGGCGCGGACTTTCTGGTCTTCGGGAAATTGGAGGATTTGCAGTGCAGAGGCTGAAGGGAGAGAAAAATCAAAATGTGACAAAAAAAAAACAAAAAAGTTTCTCTCGTACCGAAGGCCAGATTTTGGCTCTAACATTTCCAGGGGGGTCTATAAATAAAACGTGAAAAAAACTTTCTATGGATCGTGTCATTTTTAGGCCAGAAAGGGATTTCCCCTAACTTCCTGTTGTGTCACTGGGACAGGAAGTGAGTCACCCCAGTGGGGACGGGAAGTGAGTCTCCCCGGTGGGGACAGGAAGTGAGTCTCCCCAGTGGGGACACCAATACAAACAAACTAATAGAGATTAAATCCTTCCCAAAACTTCCTGTTGTGTCTCTGGGACAGGAAGTGAGGCTCCTCAGTGGGGACAGGACGTGAGTCTCCCCAGTGGGGACAGGACATGAGTCTCCCCAGTTCGGACAGGAAGTGAGTCTCCCCAGTGGGGACAGGACGTGAGTCTCCCCAGTTCGGACAGGAAGTGAGTCTCCCCAGTGGGGACACCAATACAAACGTAATAGAGATTCAATCCTTCCCAAAACTTCCTGTTGTGTCTCTGGGACAGGAAGTGTCTCCCCAGTGGGGACAGGAAGTGAGTCTCCCCAGTGGGGACAGGACGTGAGTCTCCCCAGTGGGGACAGGACGTGAGTCTCCCCAGTTCGGACAGGAAGTGAGTCTCCCCAGTGGGGACAGGACGTGAGTCTCCCCAGTTCGGACAGGAAGTGAGTCTCCCCAGTGGGGACAGGAAGTGAAGTGAGTCTCCCCAGCGGGGACACCAATACAAACGTAATAGAGATTCAATCCTTCCCAAAACTTCCTGTTGTGTCTCTGGGACAGGAAGTGTCTCCCCAGTGGGGACAGGAAGTGAGTCTCCCCAGTGGGGACAGGACGTGAGTCTCCCCAGTTCGGACAGGAAGTGAGTCTCCCCAGTGGGGACAGGAAGTGAGTCTCCCCAGTGGGGACACCAATACAAACGTAATAGAGATTCAATCCTTCCCAAAACTTCCTGTTGTGTCTCTGGGACAGGAAGTGTCTCCCCAGTGGGGACAGGAAGTGAGTCTCCCCAGTGGGGACAGGACGTGAGTCTCCCCAGTTCGGACAGGAAGTGAGTCTCCCCAGTGGGGACAGGAAGTGAGTCTCCCCAGTGGGGACACCAATACAAACCTAATAGAGATTCAATCCTTCCCAAAACTTCCTGTTGTGTCTCTGGGACAGGAAGTGAGTCTCCCCAGTGGGGACAGGAAGTGAGTCTCCCCAGTGGGGACAGGAAGTGAGTCTCCCCAGTGGGGACAGGAAGTGAGTCTCCCCAGTTCGGACAGGAAGTGAGTCTCCCCAGTGGGGACACCAATACAAACCTAATAGAGATTCAATCCTTCCCAAAACAAAAAAGAAAAAAAAGAGTTTGGGCTGGAGTTATACTTTAAGCTGACGTAGCCTCAATATTTGGGGTTTATGGGCTGTGATTACTTTTGAGCGACCCCACAAATACGACAGAATCACCCACCAAAATAAAAAAAAAAATCAAAACATTATAGATCAGGTAATATTATCATAGACATCCTCTTCTATTTACTGCACAGATATATATCTGCATTATATTGCCAAACGCATTGGTCACTCCACCCAGGACTGGGATTGGCTGGAGAGTGACACCACTGAATGGTTTCCTATATCAACTAATTGACATTTTTGAGGGGTTTTGGATTGGTCTACAGTACACTATATTGCCCCAAGCAGGGGTGGACTGACAACTCATGGGGCCCCTGTGTCCTTGCCAAAAACTCAAAAAAGCCTATGAAAAAGGTACCAGGGGCATCTCATGGGGCCCCCTACTGACCCCGGGTCCTCAAGCAATGCCTGAGTTTCCAAATGGTCAGTCCGCCCCTGGCCCCAAGTATTGGTCGGCCGGCCTCTCCACGCACATGACCTTTAATGGTCCCCCCAGTCTTAGTCCGTAGGGTTCAATATTGAGTTGGCCCCGCCCTTTCCACACACTTGACCTTTAATGGCCTCCCAGTCTTAGTTCGTAGGGTTCAATATTGAGTTGGCCCCGCCCTTTCCACACACATGACCTTTAATGGCCCCCATTCTTAGTCCGTAGGGTTCAATATTGAGTTGGCCCCGCCCTTTCCACGCACATGACCTTTAATGGCCCCCCAGTCTTAGTCCATAGGGTTCAATATTGAGTTGGCCCCGCCCTTTCCACACACATGACCTTTAATGGCCCCCCAGTCTTAGTCCATAGGGTTCAATATGGAGTTGGCCCCGCCCTTTCCACACACATGACCTTTAATGGCCCCCCAGTCTTAGTCCGTAGGGTTCAATATGGAGTTGGCCCCGCCCTTTGCAGCTATAACAGCTTCAACTCTTCTGGGAAGGCCGTCCACAAGGTTTAGGAGGGTGTCTATGGGAAGGTTGGACCATTCTTCCAGAAGCACATTTGTCAGGTCAGGCACTGATGTCGGGGGAGGGGGCCTGGCTCGCAGTCTCCGCTCTAATTCATCCCAAAGGTGTTCTATGGGGTTGAGGTCAGGACTCTGTGCAGGACAGTCAAGTTCCTCCACCCCAAACTGGCTCCTCCATGTCTTTATGGACCTTGCTTTGTGCACTGGTGGGCAGTCATGTTGGAACAGGAAGGGGCCATCCCCAAACTCTTCCCACAAAGTTGGGAGCATCAAATTGTCCAAAATGTCACCTTAAGAGTTCCCTTCACTGGAACTAGGGGGCCAAGCCCAACCCCTGAGGAACACCCCCACACCATAATCCCCCCTCCACCAAACTTTACACTTGGAACAATGCAGTCAGGTAAGTACCGTTCTTCTGGCAACTGCCAAACCCAGACATGCCCATCAGATTGCCAGACAGAGAAGTGTGATTGGTCACTTCAGAGGACACGTCTCCCCTGCTCTAGAGTCCAGTGGCGGCGTGCTTTACACCACGGCATCCGACGCTTTGCATTGCACTTGGTGATGGAAGGCTTGGATGCAGCTGCTCGGCCATGTAAACCCATTCCATGAAGCTCTCTACGCACTGTTGTTGGGCTCATCTGAAGGCCACACCAAGTTTGGAGATCTTTAGCTATTGACTCTGCAGACAGTTGGTGACTTCTGCGCACTGTGCGCTTCAGCATGCGCTGACCCCCGCTGTCATGTGACGTGGCCTACCACTTGGTGGCTGAGTGGCTGTTGTTCCCAGTTGCTTCCATTTTGTTATAATCCCACTAACAGTTGAGCGTGGAATATTTAGTAGCCAGGAAATGTCACGGATGGACTTATTGCCCAGGTGGCCACCTATCACGGGACCACGCTTGGAGTCACTGAGCTCCTGAGAGCGACCCATTCTTTCACCAATGTTTGTAGACGCTGTCTGCATGCCTAGGGGCTTGACTGTATACACCTGTGTCCATGGAGGGGATTGGAACACCTGAATCACATGATATGGAGGGGATTGGAACACCTGAATCACATGATATGGAGGGGATTGGAACACCTGAATCACATGATATGGAGGGGATTGGAACACCTGAATCACATGATATGGAGGGGATTGGAACACCTGAATCACATGATATGGAGGGGATGGAACACATGATAGGGAGTGGATTGGAACACCTGAATCACATGATATGGAGGGGATTGGAACCCTTGAGTCACATGATTTGGGGGGCGGGCCCAATACGTTTGGCAATATAGTGCATATATATATACCACGTTCTATAATGTTTCATTCATCACATGTATCTTTCTTCAACAATACAATGTATCGAAATGAATAAACCCGAACATTACAGAAGGTGATATTATTATAATCCATTTCCTGGACGGATATTATGATGTCACTGCCGCCAGTACAGACGGCTTCTACTGTCATTACGTTTTACATGGGTCTCAATGTTGGGCAGTCATGAAGGGCAGTTGTCACAAAAACCGGGGGAGGGGCTGTCAATCCTTCTACTGCTTTAAGGGGGGTCTTCGGAGCTGGCTTCTTCTTAATGGTGGCCCCATCTGGAAGGAAAGCGCAAGGACTCATTACTGATGTGAATGTGGGTGGGATGAGAGGCGGAGCCATGCTGCGATATGATGCAATGGATGGATTCTGCGACGGCAGATGCGTGATCTGCTCCGTGTTACATGACGGACATGAGATGGGATTAGTAGCCATGATGGAGGTCGCCGGGGACGTCACTAAACGCGGCCCGTGATGTCATCGCTGCCGTTGTCATACCCGCGCAGGTGGAGCGACACGCCCAGTTCTGCGCGGCACGTCTCGTGACAACGGCGATGCATCTCATGCAGTTAAAACAAAGCGGCTGATTGGTGGACAGTTTATGAGGGATGGCGTTAGGAGAGAGATGAGGATGAGGATGACGATGGAGGGCGGAGAGAACAAGGTTTACATTCAGAAATAAATCGTTTTATATAAAATGTTACATTTATCAATAATAAACAACAAAATAGGAAAAAACAACAACAATGGAGACAAAATACAAATACATTTCCTGTTCCCTCCTTCATAGCCGGCCAGAGGGGAGCCGGAAACTCCGATCGAGACCCGCCCGGCGGGGTTCTGCATCCTCCGAGCTCAGAATGAGTCTTACATCCCAAAATACTAAAGTGGGATCTGCAGCTGAGTTACAGCAGAGCTATCAGTGGGTGTCATCCTCCTTCTACAAAGTTACAATGTACAGTCTGATCACTGGGGGAGGGGAGACTGAGGAAATGCCTCTTCCTCCTTCTACAAAGTTACAATGTACAGTCTGATCACTGGGGGAGGAGACTGAGGAAATGCCGCCTCCTCCTTCTACAAAGTTACAATGTATACTCTGATCACTGGGGGAGGAGACTGAGGAAATAACTCCTCCTCCTTCTACAAAGTTACAATGTACAGTCTGATCACTGGGGGAGGAGACTGAGGAAATGCCTCCTCCTCCTTCTACAAAGTTACAATGTGCAGTCTGATCACTGGGGGAGACTAAAGAAACGCCTCCTCCTCCTTCTACAAAGTTACAATGTGCAGTCTGATCATTGGGGGAGGGGAGACTGAGGAAAGCAATGAAAGCCCCCCCCCCCCCCCTCCCCCCCAATTCTGGTGATGGAAAGGTAACTTCAGTGCAGATTAAAATGTAATAATAGAGATTTATCCCGGGATGTGGAGAATCGTTCCTCCACCCTGAATGGAAGCCCCCCGAGTGACACCTTCCAGAGATGGGAGCCCATCCATACACCTGCAGGGAGATGAACATTCCGGAGACTTCGGCTTTTCCCGGACAAACCTCCATATTTAGATGAGGAAAAGGTCACAGAGGATTCTACTCCATGCAGAACGACTCTCAATGTGGGCGGCTCCCAAATCATCAGAAGTTCCTGAGAAGCATTCTGTCATCGAAGACAACATTTCTGACAGCAAGAGGAAGAGCGGGAGGAGTCCCGAGACCCTCAGAGTATACAACTCAGCATCGGGACACCCCAAAACCAGACAGCGGGGTCCCATAAAAGTATATGCTGTAAGCCAAAAGAAATACAGTGGGCAGAATAATGCCCCATCATTGGTGTCAGTGGGAGGAATAGTGCCCCATCATTGGTGTCAGTGGGAGGAATAGTGCCCCATCATTGGTGTCAGTGGGGGGAATAGTGCCCCATCGTTGGTGTCAGTGGGAGGAATAGTGCCCCATCATTGGTGTCAGTGGGCAGAATAGTGCCCCATCATTGGTGTCAGTGGGCAGAATAGTGCCCCATCATTGGTGTCAGTGGGAGGAATAGTGCCCCATCATTGGTGTCAGTGGGAGGAATAGTGCCCCATCATTGGTGTCAGTGGGCAGAATAGTGCCCCATCATTGGTGTCAGTGGGAGGAATAGTGCCCCATCATTGGTGTCAGTGGGAGGAATAGTGCCCCATCATTGGTGTCAGTGGGCAGAATAGTGCCCCATCATTGGTGTCAGTGGGAGGAATAGTGCCCCATCATTGGTGTCAGTGGGAGGAATAGTGCCCCATCATTGGTGTCAGTGGGAGGAATAGTGCCCCATCATTGGTATCAGTGGGAGGAATAGTGCCCCATCATTGGTGTCAGTGGGAGGAATAGTGCCCCATCATTGGTGTCAGTGGGCAGAATAGTGCCCCATCATTGGTGTCAGTGGGAGGAATAGTGCCCCATCACTGGTATCAGTGGGAGGAATAGTGTCCCATCATTGGTGTCAGTGGGAGGAATAGTGCCCCGTCATTGGTGTCAGTGGGAGGAATAGTGCCCCATCATTGGTGTCAGTGGGAGGAATAGTGCCCCATCATTGGTGTCAGTGGAATGAATAGTGCCCCAAGGGCTAGATAAAGGCAAGCAGAGGGCCGCAGTTTGGAGTCCAATGATGTATAATACGGACACGGATGACTAGTTGATACTTTGTTATAGAATGTTCCGCAGACGTTCCGTTGTATCTCCATGTTAAGATCACACTTGGAGGTTTGATAAACATTCTCTCTTCTCTGGCGGAGCTGATAGTTGAACTTTCCATATGAGATTAATTTCTTCCACTTAATGGAATTGCTGCCCAGTGACTCCTCTCTGACATGTCCCAGCTGTTGGCCCCGGGGACACGCACAGGTCGGGGCCCTCACATTCACATTCTGATACTTTATTGAAGACGGAAATGAATCCAGAGAACACAGAGGAGTCTTTCTGAAGCAATCGCTATTTACTGAATTGTGAGAAACATTTCTGGATTCTCCGAGAGACATTGTAACTCTTTACATCATTCCTTCAGTTTAACCTTTCAATCCTCCTTCTGGCTCCTCCCCTTCCTTCTTGCACAGGTGTACCGGCTCCTCCCTTTCACAGTCTTGTACAGGTGTAGCGGCTCCTCCCTCTCCAGTCCTGCACAGATGTACCAGCTCCTCCCCTTCAGTCTTGCACAGGTGTACCGGCTCCTCCCCTTCAGGCTTGTACAGTTGTATAGGCTCCTCCCCTTCAGCCTTGTACAGGTGTACCGGCTCCTCCCCTTCAGTCTTGCACAGGTGCACCGGCTCCTCCCCCTTCAGTCTTGCACAAGTGTACCGGCTCCTCCCCTCCCAGTCTTGCACAGGTGTACCGACTCCTCCCCTCCAGTCTTGCACAGGTGTACTGGCTCCTCCCCTCCCAGTCTTGCACAGGTGTACCGGCTCCTCCCCTCCCAGTCTTGCACAGGTGTACCGGCTCCTCCCCTCCCAGTCTTGCACAAGTGTACCGGCTCCTCCCCTCCCAGTCTTGCACAGGTGTACCGGCTCCTCCCCTCCAGTCTTGCACAAGTGTACCGGCTCCTCCCCTCCCAGTCTTGCACAGGTTTACCAGCTCCTCCCCCTCCAGTGTTGCACAGGTGTACCGGCTCCTCCCTTCAGTGTTGCACAGGTGTACCGGCTCCTCCCCTCCAGTGTTGCACAGGCGTACCAGCTCCTCCCCTCCAGTCTTGCACAGGTGTACCAGCTCCTCTCTTGAACTGAAGTGGCTTCCTCGGAATCCACTGCACCCTGTGATCTTCTCACAATGTTCATTAGAAGCTGTAGCCAGTCACATATCGCTCCACCTCATTTCCTGGCTGGAGGACGTCCAGCATCATCTAGCGCTTTCCTCCTCAGCCTTACTGTCTCCGCCCCTTTTCATTGATTGGATTTCAAGCCCGATAGAGCCGCTGTTCATTCCCATCGCACAGCAGAATGATGGAGCGGTGAGATTCGGTTTCTGTACTCCCAGCAATCTGTGGTTGCCCCCCCCCGGGGAGGAAACATTCCTTCAATGTTCATTTCCGGCATTTCCCTTCAAAGCTCCCAAATCCCAGACAGACTGAGAGAGCGAGGAAACTACGGCAACCGGAACATCCCAGCATGGAGGTCGGGGGATGAGATGTGTGTACAGGGAGTGCAGGGGACGCAACTGAATGTAATCAGCCAGCAAAACCAAATCACCTGGAACAAGGTTCTTCTTCCTATAAGGGGTTCCCACCATCCCTGTGCTGAGTTCCCGGGTCTGTACACCCGCTGTGCCCATTATGAGGGGTTCCCACCATCCCTGTGTTGAGTTCCCGGGTCTGTACCCCCGCTGTGCCCATTATGAGGGGTCCCACCATCCCTGTGTCGAGTTCCCGGGTCTGTACCCCTGCTGTGCCCATTATGAGGGGTTCCCACCATCCCTGAGCTGAGTTCCCAGATCTGTACGCCCGCTGTGCCCATTATGAGGGGTTCCCACCATCCCTGTGCTGAGTTCCGGGGTCTGTACGCCCGCTGTGCCCATTATGAGGGGTTCCCGCCATCCCTGTGCTGAGTTCCCGGGTCTGTACGCCCGCTGTGCCCATTATGAGGGGTTCCCGCCATCCCTGTGCCGAGTTCCCGGATCTGTACGCCCGCTGTGCCCATTATGAGGGGTTCCCACCATCCCTGTGCCGAGTTCCCGGGTCTGTACACCCGCTGTGCCCATTGTGAGGGGTTCCCACCATCCCTGTGCTGAGTTCCCGGGTCTGTACGCCCGCTGTGCCCATTATGAGGGGTTCCCGCCATCCTTGTGCCGAGTTCCCGGGTCTGTACACCCCCTGTGCCCACTATGAGGGGTTCCCGCCATCCCTGTGCTGAGTTCCTGGGTCTGTACACCCTCTGTGCCCATTATGAGGGGTTCCCGCCATCCCTGTGCTGAGTTCCCGGGTCTGTACGCATGCTGTGCCCATTATGAGGGGTTCCCACCATTCCTGTGCCGAGTTCCCGGATCTGTACGCCCGCTGTGCCCATTATGAGGGGTTCCCACCATCCCTGTGCTGAGTTCCCGGGTCTGTACGCCCGCTGTGCCCATTATGAGGGGTTTCCGCCATCCCTGTGCTGAGTTCCCGGGTCTGTACACCCCTGTGCCCACTATGAGGGGTTCCCGCCATCCCTGTGCTGAGTTCCTGGGTCTGTACACCCTCTGTGCCTATTATGAGGGGTTCCCACCATCCCTGTGCCGAGTTCCCGGATCTGTACGCCCGCTGTGCCCATTATGAGGGGTTCCCACCATCCC